GCCATCCTGGGCAACAAAGAGAGTTCCCGTGAAGCCAAACCCGCAGGCGGCAATTCTGCCTTAGGCTGTTCTCATTGCCAAGGTCTGGAGACTCACGTGATCTTTCCAAGCCTCAGTTTTCTTGTCTACAATGTGTTGTCGGGACAGCGGGAAAGAAAAGTCCTCCTTATTTTGTTGCTGCTGTTTCTTAGCTTTTCCTCAGAGCAACCAGGAGAAGCATCTCTAAGATGATCTTATTGTGCCAGAAAAATGGAAAGGCCAAAGAGGCTAAGCCCCGCCCCTAATCTCCAACCACAAGGAACAGAGAGGCAAAGCCTACCAAGAGCTAGCTGCCCTTGAGGCTGCCCTTGGGGTGTGGCAGCAGAAGACAGGAAAATGACCTTGAGCAACAGCAGGACAGCAAGAACATCTTGCAGTAGAGTTTTTAATTTACTGCTTTGTTGCCTGCACTTAAAATTATAGGTTGTGTGTGGCCGGGGACGGCCTTCCAGAAGAGATAAGTAACCAGCTATTTTAGGATAACTCTTCCTGTGACATAAATTATGGTTTGGAGAGGCGAGAGTTTGGAGGTACCAGAGGCTAATTAGAAAGAGACGGCACAGTCTGCATGTAGGGCAGGAGGGGGTGGAATTAAAAGGAGGGTCAGACTTGAGAGACCAGCCCCATTCAAATGGATAATATCACAGTTTAACCTGGTATTCAGGGCCATTGACCTAAGATGGTTTTCATTGGTTAATGGCAATATACATGACCCGCGAGAAGAGGGAGAGCAGACATTTTTCAGTCATTTGCTATGGTAGTTTTTGAGCAGTTGAAGAGCTGAGGGCCCAGCCCAGGGAGACACACTTGCCCTGGGTGTGTGAAGCCCTTCGTTCCACCCCAAAACTGCAAATTATGGGTACCATACTGCAGCTCTAGAGTAAGAAGCTTGGCTCCAGCTCTCCCAAGAGGCAAGGCTTTTCTTACCCATCCCGAAAGCCAGTTAAAGAGACAAGGAATGGTGAGACGTAGGGATCGCGTGACCATGAGAGCACACTTGATTCCACACCGCCAACACCGGGAAGAACAGAGGCCAGAAACTCAAAGTCATCTTTGGGCACAGACACGAACTTTACTTTTCCACAAAGAACTGAGGGAGGGGGTAGAGGTGCAGTTAATCAACCAGCCCTGCTCAAGGCCTCATCATTGTCTTAGCTCTAGTTCTGAAAGGTGCCCAAAGTTCTTACTGTTTTAGGGGGACAAAAGAGTTCTCAGGAGGTGGTCATTTCTGCTCCAGAGTGTGACCTTGCCATTGTGGATTAATGGACTTCGACTGGGGTGTGGGGAGGGCCAGGAACAGTGTTCTGCCCTGATTTTGCTCTTCCTTGAATCCTAGGTGACTTCAAGTTTAGGACAATGACTTGGTCTCGATACCTTCATTCTTGAAGGGGCACTGAGCTAGGTTAGGTAGACAAATGTGCCTAGTGTTTACCATTCTTATGTAGGGTCAAAGAAACCCTGCGCCGAGGCAAAGGAGAGAGACACAGAACCAAGGCAGGGGTACCAGGCTTTGCTCTCGAGCAAAAGCAGCCCTGAGTGCCTGTTACAGCCCCTGATGGCTAAGACAGAAGACTGTGGGCACACAGATGTAAAAGCTGATGTCTCTTTTCCTGGCCACATGAGTGCTGCGGAAACCCCACATGTGGAGAGTGACAGACAAGGCTTAGGGAACCCCGACAAGCACTTGGCTGGAGTTTTCACTTGAATTCTGAAGGATGGAAGTGGAGGAAACTCTTATTAGTCTGGCTCTGATGGAGGCAAACTGGGAAGAACTGGAGGTCCTGGGCCCACTGGGCCGGCTTCTCTAGTCCTGCCTTGCAGCCGTCCTTTGGTTGCCATGGTGACCACAGCAGACAACAGATTCTCCCCAGTTCTCAAACCCCTCCCACAGACTACCAAGTGTAGCCAGTATGCCTCATATAGCAATCAGAGGGAGAGATGATGCCCACGCCTTTATGAACGTGGTAGTCGTCTTACATCTCCAGATTAACAGCCAAGCGGGCTCAGATAAAAACAGAAGTCTCTGTATCCCTTTATGAAATAGACACCTGTGGGCATGGGTGCCGATGTCCACACTGCTAAGAGCATGCTAATATAGCAGGTGTGTTTCTGAGAATTCAAGGACAAAAAAGACCTAGTTGCCAATTGGAGCTGAGACAGGAGGCATGGAGGGGTTTCTGTCAACAGAGGGGTTTCCTACCAAGCACAATCGACATCCTGGTAAACTAATAGCTGCATTTATTTTACAAGAAAATATTTTAAAAAATCGACCCACTAACAATCCGTTAAAGAAACTGCAAGCAACAGAGAACAATCACAATCTTCACACAGCAAAATTATGAAACAGAAACTTGAAAATGGTCAGGTTTAGCAAATTGAAAGAATGAGGTTTGAAAGTGTGTGCAGGCTGGGCTGAGCTCCTGAAGCTCAGTCGTAGGGAGGGGGCAGCAATAATGTGAGCAAAAGGGTCAGGACCATGATGGGATAACCCACAGAAACAGCTGAGCTGAGTTAGTGGGAGCTCCAATTGGCAACTTTCAGAACTGCTTGGGCACACCTACTTTCCTGTGACTGGCAAGGATTTCAGACTCCAGAAACGTCCAGGCTCTCAGGCGATCGCAGCTGAAGGAGCTGAGCAGTCTGAAACACGGCAGCTGCAGCTGAACCTAGAAGACAACTGCCCTACAGGAGCATGGATGCAACGGCCTCGCAGAGGCTCAGGATGCAGCCGCCTCACACTGCCCTACTAAATGTCTAACAAAGGCAACGTGAGAGAGGCAGAATTTGTTTCAGCTCATCGTCTGAGGGCGCGGCAGGAATGCGAGGCAACTGTCATCTTATTGCAGCTGCAGCCAGGAAGGAGACAGAGAGTAGGGGAAAATGAACACTGGTGGCCAACTCTCTCTCTCTATTTCTCTCTCTCTATTTCTCTCTCTCTATTTCTCTCTCTCTATTTCTCTCTCTCTATTTCTCTCTCTCTATTTCTCTCTCTCTATTTCTCTCTCTCTCTCTCTCTCTCTCTCTCTCTCTCTCAGATCCCATGTCATGGATGGGTGCTGCCCACATTCAGGGTGGATCCCCCATCAGTTAAACCTTTCTGGAAACACCCGCAGAGGCACACACAGGGGTGCAGTGTCATGGTGATTCTAAGTCCAGTCTAGCTGACAGTGAAGGCTGACCATCACATTTCCCATCTGTGGCCCCCCTCTCTCCACACATAATGCTCCAAGATCTGGTCTGGGAGTCCTATAGCGCTGGTCAGCCGGTGATTAGCTAGATTCCCAGGCTCTCTGCAGCCTTGCTGCCGAGACTTCTTGTAAACTTATATAACCGCAGCTGCACAGCCTTGTGATACTGTGTTAGTGCCTACAGAGGATAGGGTTCGGCAGTAACGTTCTCAGCTAACAAAAATCTTCCCCCATACAGCAGTAAAACGTTCCTTGGAGGGAATGGGAGCAGGGACGGTTTTCATGTTTGAGCTACTAAAGTCAGTCACCGCCAAGAATCACGAGTGAGTTATTCCACTCTCATTAAACTAAATTTTCATGGAGTGTTATTAAGCCTCCTCATTCTTATTAATATGGCAGTGCATTTTTGAAAACCTTTGACCCTCCCCCACACATGTTTTGTTTAACGCTGCTTCTGATTCCTGTATGAGGCAGCTGGGTTGGCACATGTCGTGTCGGGGCCCTGTGGAGTTGAGAACGCTACATTGGATGATTATGAAATTGGGCTTGATTGATTTAATCACTGTAATCATTGGCATTGTTCAGCTACGAGACCAGGAGGTTTTTCCTTCCAGCAATTATTCAGGATGAAGTCACATTATGCAGGGAGCTCATCCCGTGTTTATTTTTTCCCTAAATGGAGGACGGAAACGTAGGCATGAGCCAAGGTCCCGCACTGCCAGGTGAACCTACATGATCCAGCCAGGAAAAGAGGGCTGATCGGCGAGACCGCGGAACTGTGTGCTGTACCTGGCTCCCACTAGACTCGGCTATTAAATGAATTTTTGTCTAGTGTAGTATATTCTTGTATGATTATATGGTTATCCTTCAGACAGCACTGAGAGGTAGAATACCTGGTCCATGGGAAAGCTCCATGCATATTGCTTGTTTTTCAGGATGAGGCCTTTGAGCAGCTCTCGGGAGCTGGTAGGGTGACAGCTTCAGACCCGCTACACTTTCCTGTGACCATCAGCTTCCATCCTGGAGAGGTCCCTGTGGCTTAGTCATTTAAATTACTGACCACACGAAGTCATGTCTCCCTGCTGGGAAGTGAAACCTCAACAAGATGGCTCTTTGGTCTCTGAAGAAGGCTTTGAAAAAACTTGCAAACCAATTGTTCTTTTGGTGTCGGTGTTGTTGGTGTTGTTTGGTTGTGGTAGTCTTTGGTGTTGGTATTGGTGTTGTTTGGTGGTGGCGGTGTTGACATTGTTTGGTGTTGGTGTTATTGGTGGTTGAGTTTGGGTATTTTCTGAGATGGACTTGCACTGCAGCCCAGGCTGGGCTAGAACTTTCGGGACTCCATCTGCCTTAGCTCCCCAATGCTGGGTTAATTATGTGTCCAGAATGCACCAGGCTGCCGTTGTTGTCCTTGCTGCCTGGTCTCAGGTTTCAGTGCTGCAGCTAGGGAGGTACTTCTCCGGCTTGGGAAACTGAGGCGAGCTCATTTTCCAGGGTCATGTGGAAGAGGCTGTGTGCCATGAGGAAGTGGAGAACAAGGATTCTGAGAAGTCTGTTCACCCTGTCAGAGTGCCGCATGAAGCATACGGGAGCACTCTCTGCAGTCATGTGCTGTCTGGGAGACAGAAGCAGGGCTCTAGAGACATCCTGTCCCAAACCCACAAAGTGTCAGGATCATGGGGCTGGAAGAAGTCTAACAGACTCGGGCCCCCTGACAGATTCACGGGACAATTGTGCCCAAGAAATCTGCTTACGGCCTCATTGCATCCTCTTCACTGATCTAAAAGGCAGAAGTTACAGAATTCATTAAAGACTTTATTATTTGCTGCTGAGATGATATGGAACATAACTTTATTCTCAAAATAGCCCATCAAAGAGGAGGTTTTGGTGTGTGTGTGTGTGTGTGTGTGTGTGTGTGTGCGCGCTGTTCTCCCAATTTGAGCATTAAATGTTAGTTAAATAAAACGGATGGGGTGGGGATGATTGGGGGAGAGAACATGGCTCAACTGTTCTCCACAGGACAGGTAAGAGGATTCTGAAGATGGAAAGGGCTGAGCTCTGAGAAGAGGCAAGGGAACAAGGTCCTGCTTGTCATCGGGAGCAGATGTGACCATGGCTTGTTCAACACTTTAGGAAAGTCAGCATCACTTTAATGGAGGGGCAGGGAACACCCAGCTTTGTTGAGGAGAAACAGAGGATCTGATTTCCCCATGCAAGGTGGTACAAGGCTGAAGGGGCTGGGTTTAGAAAGTAAGGGTAGATTCTAATCCTGGGAGGACCCATAGCCGTATCCCTTTTCACACACAAATTCCTACACTGTCCACTGCTCTGAGTCCTCTGAACTGGATCCTCCTGGGATACATCCCCCCTCAAAAAAAAATCTGACTTAAAGCTGAAGAAACTGTGGAAACCCCAGGTCAGTCAGTAGATCAACTACAGGCCTCCACAGATAACATTCGCGTGTATCGAGACTGGAGAGAGACTGATAAATGCCCGTGGGTGTGCAGCTGAAACACAGTGAGTGAGGAGAAGCAGAGCCTGCACATCGATGTTTAATAAGTGGAGGAAGCAAAAGGGAACAGGGAGGGAAGGAGGAAAACGAGAAATGGAGGAGGGAGAGAGGGGAAGGGGGAGGAACAGAAAAGAAAAGAAAAGAAAAGAAAAGAAAAGAAAAGAAAAGAAAAGAAAAGAAAAGAAAAGAAAAGAGAGCAGGGAGTTGGGGAGGAGAGAAGAGAGATGGGAAGAGGAGAAAGGAGAGAGATTGGGGGAGGAATGGAGAGGGAGAGGGAAGGAACTGAGAAAAGAGAAAACAGGAAAGGAGAGGGAGGGAAGAGAAAGAGAGATTCTAGTGCCAGTTAGGAGTCTACACTCCTCAGCCCCATGGCCTGGGTAATCCTTGGAAAACCACAGCGCCTCTCTGAGCCCATTTCCCCACCTGGAAATGGGAAGGTGACAGTTCTGGTTTCCCAAGGAGCAAACCCATGTTGACTGCCTACAACAGACCCGCAGCTCAGCAAGCTAGCTACAGAGGTGGCGCTGTCACTGTGACCGTGCAACAGCGTCACAGTGGGCTGCTACAGGGATGGTTTAGAAGGGCTTAGAAGAGGAGAACAAGACCTTCGGCAAGGGTGCCATCCCACAGTTAGCAACAGCTTCTGCATAGACTCTGTCCACCCAGTGGGCACTGGCCAGAGTTATAGCCTGAGTTCATGAATGTTGAGCCATCCATTCTCCATCTTCGGTTAAATCTGGAAGATAAGAGTGACAGTTACTGATGCAGCCAGCGGTAGACAAGCACATTGAAGCTGTCCCCCCAAATGAGAGGGGATTCTTGCAGGGTTTAGGAGCCAACTGCACTGTGAGGAATATTAGCTGAATATCTGTCCGTGAGGGGCTCACCTGCGCACAGGCTCGGAGGCTGATGTGTAGTTTAGGATGGGTGTTTTGCAAAGTTACTTCAGGCCTCAGTAATTTTCTTCCCAGGTAGCATTAAAGTAGACCAGGGAGAACACGGATAAAGATAGAGTGGCAAAGGACATTGAAGAAAACGTCTCCTGAGGCAGCAGTGGCGGCTCCAGGACGCTGTAACTGGAAAACTCCTGTGCTATAGGGAACACGGAGGATTCACTCACCAGAACTGCAAACTGGAAACCAAAGCCAGGGACCCAGGGGTTGTGTACACCCAGCTCCAGAACCGTAGGAGCATGCCACTTGGCAGGTCACCTACGTCTTTAAAGTTAGCACCAAAGCCCAGGGGTTATACCTGGTTATACCAGCTGTATACCCAGCTCCAGAACCATAGGAGCGTGCCTCTTGGCAGGGCGCCTGCATCTTTAAAGTTAGCAAATATGGGTGTGACTCCAAGCAACTTAATGAACCTCGCAGGTCTCAATTCTCCAGCTCTAAATGTAAGGAGAGTAATTGTCGCTAAGTCTTAGGGTGTCTGTGAAGTTCAGGGTGGAACAGGAATGAACTGCAGCTTTAGGCATCCTACTATGAACATTATTATCATTAATTATCTTACTTGCTGGAACCAAATTCTGCAAGATGACATTTGGAAGAGAGGAATAAAATCCCACATGTGAATCCTACAGGGATAGGCAGAAACAAAGACTGGGTATTTCCAGAGTTCACGGTGGGTGGAGAGGGGTGGCAGACATGGTTTGTAAGAACCATGAGTAGAGTCGAGGCGGTCTGAAGCTCTTAGGGTGTGCCCATCTTACCTGCTTCTGCCTCAAGAGTCACCAGAGAGAGGGCGGGCGGGAGGGAGGGAGAGAGGGAGGGAGGGAGGGACGGACGGACGGAGGGACAGAGGGACGGAGGGACGGAGGGACGGAGGGACAGAGGGAAAGAGAGAGGAGAATGGATCCCTCTGAGAAGGCCAGTGCTGGTGGCCATATGGAGGAACTGTGCTGTCCGAGGAACCGTTAGATACACTGTGCTGTTTATCTTTGAAGAGCAGTGATCTCAGAGGAGGGTAATGGAATAGAGATGTTCAGAAATGCCCAGAGGCCTGGCGTGTATTATGTGTCTCAAAGGTGTGTGTGTACCCTGTGGGGTACTGCTAGGAGGTGGAACTCCAGACAGAGATTTAAGTTCGGTATAACAAAGAACTCTCCATAGACAAGGTAGCTAGCTCCGAAACACAGCACATGGCCCCAGAAGGTCAAGCCCCATTCACTGGACCTGTATAGTATTGTGGTTTTGTTCTTTTTACAGCACTAAGTATGATTTCAGCCCAGAGTCTCACACATACTAGGCAAGTCCTCAACCGCTGAGCTATTTCTCCGACCCTTTTCTTTTTATCTTTATTTTGAGACCAGGTCACACTAAATTGTCAAGGAAGTCCTTGATGCCACTATGTAGCCCAAGCAGACCTTTAATGTGCCATCCTCCTGCCTTCGTCTTTTGAGTAGCTGGGAGTGCAGCCTGTACCACCAAACCTGACCCTGACTTAACTGTTTATTCCAGAAAGACCTACATGAGAGGTTAGGTCTTGATCTTTTCTAAAAGCTCTTTCAACCTTGAAAAAAGCCTGTGTTCTCATGAGATACTGCAAGTGACTTTATTGTATGGTGGAGGCAAGGGAATTTCTTTCTAGAAGACTTCTGTTCATGTAAATTCTCTCCCCAGACTCATACTATAAATGGGCTCACCCCACTACTTGGGGGCAGAGACTAAGTAAGCTCTTTTAACTTCCTTACGACATAAGGAGAAAATAAAAAAAAATCAATAGAGAGGAAAGCCTAAAGGAGGAAGGAGATAGGGAGGGAGGGAGGAGGGGGGAAGGAAGAAGACACACATCAACATTTATTCATTTGATCTATATTGACAACTTTCTCCAAAAGGAAATTGTTAAATAGCCAATTAGCACATGAAAAGATGTTCTGAGTCCTTAGTCATCAGGGGAAATAGAAATCAGAACCACAAGATGTACTTCACACCCACCAGGATGGCCGCATCCACCAGACAGATGATCTCAGGGCTGAGGAAACTGCGAAGGAGGGAACTGCACACTGCTGGCAGAGAGTGCAGAGAACCCTTTGGGAGCACCTCACAGGTCACCCAGGCCTTGGCTGTTTCATTTCTGCGTCTGTACCCAAGGAGAGGAAAAATTTTTTTTTCACTTCCCGTTACCATGCCCTTTGAGACGTCCATACAGAAATCTGTACGCAAGTGTTCATAGTGACATTATTCACGATGGCTAAAAATGGAAACCATGAGTGTGCCCATCATCTAATGAACGGTTACAGAAAATGCAGTGAGGAGTGAGAAGAAGGCAGAAGGCAGTGCTCACCCATCCAATAATGGTGCAAGCCTCCCAAGTATTATCTCAGTGGAGGAAGCCCCACCCTAAAGACTACTTTCTGATGGAGTCTCCTGATACAAAGACTGAAGACTGAGCAAATCTACAGAGCTGTATTTTGCCACAATTAATGATTAAAGACGAAAGGCAGCAAAATACACAAATGTGGCAGACAGACAGGTGGCAGCATTCAACACCATTGGCCACTAGACAAATGTGACTCAAAACCACAATGACAGAGCACTTCACGCCTGCTCAAACGGCTGGAAGGTGAAAGGATGCAACCCTTTTGAAAACATAAACCCATAAAAAAAATTGTACATGAGTGTTTCTGGCAACATTGTTTATGAAGACAAAGGGAGAAGCAATTCAGCTGGCCAGTGTGTAAGCAGAATGTGTTACAGTCAGACAGTGGGAACCATTCTGTGAAAGGAATGAAGGAGTGTTAGAGGCTGGCATCAGGCTAGGCCTTAGAACCATGCCAGTGGAAGAAGCAAGTCATGGAACACCACACAGGAGAAGTCACTATTTCTGTAAAGTCTACAAAACAGACAAATGAAAAGGTGCCAAAGTGGATTCCCAATGACCTGGTGCTGAAGTGAGGTGGGGAAAGAAGGTTGAGGGGTGACTGTGGATGATCACAGAGATTACTGGGGGGACACTAAAAGTATCCTAAATTTATGTTAGGATCCTGGTCCCAGAAAGTCATGCATGTGTGATGCACTTTAATTACATAGGGGTGTGTGTGTGTGTGTGTGTGTGTGTGTGTGTGTACATGTGCGTGTAGGCTGTGGGACAAGTTTGGGGAAGTCTGTCTTGTCCGTTCATCCTGTGGAGCGAAGGATCAAACTCTGGTATTGGTATCTGGATTGGTATTAAGCATCTTTCCATGACGAATCATCTTATTGGCCCATGTAATAGACTTTAAATAGTAATTTCACTGTCAGAGATAGTACTGCAAGCGTCCACCCTGTTTATAAACTTTGTAGACCCACCTTTAATGGCAGATCAGGAACTGGTGAAGGTATAATGAGGGGAATGCTATGGTTAAACATAGGTAAAGTATGTTTTCTTCTCTGCACACTTCATGCGATCATCTTAGTTCGGGTGTCTATTGTGATAGAAGACTATGACCATAAGCAACTTGGGGAGCAGCAGGTTCATTTGCTTACACTTCCACACCCAGTCTGTCATTGAAGGAAGTCAGGTCAGGAACTCAAGGCAAGAGCCTGGAGGCAGGACGTGATGCCGAAACCATAGAAAATGCTATTTTTCTCAAAGCTTGTTTCTCGTGGCTTGCTCACTCTGCTTTCTTATAGCATCCAGGAACAGAAGCCCAGGAGTGACACCACCCCCAGGAGCTGGGCTCTCCCATATCAACCATCAGTTAAGAATATACATCATAGGCTTGCCCACAGGCCAATCTAATGGAGACAGCCTTTCAATTAAGGTTCCCTCTTCCAAAATGACAAGCAAACCTGACCCGTTGACAACTTGACACACAAACACATCACTCTTAAACCATAACCTTTCCTTTCTTGTTGTCCACAAGATGACATATTAATATCAGTATCCCAGCATAAAACACATTTCAAACTTTAAATGTACCAGTCTTTAAGAATCCAAACATTTAAAAAGTACAGTCTCTTCAAAACATCCAAAGTCTCTTTAAAATATCCAAAATCTCATAACTCTAGATTCCTATAAAATCAAAAATAGATAGCTTGTTCAGGAAGGAAGAACCAGAACCAGGGCACAGTCACAATCTGAACAAAGCAAAACCAAGCTCCACCAGTGTAAATAACACAGTCTACCATGTCTGGAATTCACGTGGTTGTCTGGGCTTCAAAGGGCATGGATAGTTATGCGTCTCTAGCTCTTCATCCACAGCACAGAGACCTGTCTCCTAGGCTCAGGCTTGCTCCCCGTCACAGCCCCTGCCATCCTTGGTAGTCCATCCATGGCTTTGGCATCTCTGAAGTGTTGAGGTCTACTGCTGCAATTGCGCTACACTTTTACCAGTAGCCTCTCCTGAGCTCTCTTCAGGAGGGATCCTGACCCTGAAATGTGGTGCCGGCTCTCAGCTTCCCTTCATGGCCTCTTTAATCCTGGGCCTTCAAAACCAGTACCACTTGGGAGCCTGTAAGACTTTACCACCCGTGGCCACCTCTAGACTACAGCTTCAATGTAGGAAGTTGAGGAAACACTTCTGGGAAGACATTACCTCACTGGGCTGCTCTCTTCTTGATCACAGCTGACTCTTTAGTCCCAGCTCACCAGCGTTGATCATCCTGGCACAGCAAAGATTCCACTGTAATGGTGCTGGTTTCTTATTAACCACAGCCAATGCTTTCTTCAGCCCCGGCTGACCTAAGCTCAAAGTTTCAAACTGCCCCACTAGAGCCCTTAAGGAACGCTCAACATTCCCTCTGAAACTGCACGCACACCCAACTCCATCGTCTGTTCTGCTCTCAGCGTCACTTCCTAAGTGCCCACAATAGTTCAGTAAGCTCTGAGCACCAAATGGCTTTTCTATCCCAAAGTTCTAGAGTCCTCCCATTTTCCTCCCCAAAACACATGGTCAAGTCTGGCACATCAATAACTCACTTCTGTACCGGTTTCTGTCTTAGTCAGGGTTTCTATTACTGTGATAAAGCACCCTAAGTATAAGCACCTTGGGGAGGAAAGGGTTTATTTTTCTTATACTTCTTATCACAGTCCATCACTGAAGGAAGTCCTGGAATAAAATCAAGCACGCTAAGAACCTGGAAGCAGGAATTGATGCAGAGGCCAAGGAGGGCTGCTATTTACTGGCTTTCTCTTCTTGGGTTGCTTAGCCCATCTTTGTATAAGCAGCCATGGCTGTCAATCCAGGGGTGGCACCACCCTCAGTGGGCTGGGCCTTCCTACAACAATCATCAATTAAGAAAATATCATAGGCTTGCCCACAAACCAATCTAGTGGAGGCATCCTTTCATGTAAGGCTTCCTCTTCCGAAATGAGTCTAGCTTGTGTCAAGTTGACATAAAACTGGCCAGCAGTCAGCACACATGCCAAGCCTAAGCTACTGACCATGGATGTCCTCATCAAAGTCTTGGTTGTTGGTATAATACTCGTCAAGCCAAGAGCCAGGTCAGACTTACCAACCACTGATCAAGTCTCTCCAGAGCACACCTGGGCGCTGCTCTAATGAAAGGTAACATCACTCCCTCCCCAACGTTGGCCTTGTCTACACTGTTGCCTCAGTGATAGTCATCTTAACCCACCAGCTGGCGGGTGTCTCCTCTCATTAATCTGGTTCCACCTCTCCTCATATATTTAGATTTCAGGTAAATTTCCTTAAAGTGTCTCACAAGGCCGGGCATGATACCCTTCAGTTGACCTCCCACCTAATCCTGGATTCAAAGGCTTCATTTCTCAATTTCTAGGTGCAGTATTCTCTTGGATTCTATTTTTTTGTTGTTGTTGTTGTTTGATTGATTTCGTTTTTTGTTGAATTTTTTCTTATTTTTGTTTTGCTTTTGGTTTGGTTTGATTTTGGGAGACAGGATCTCATGTAATGCATGCTGGCTTCTAACTTTTCATCAGCTGAGGCTAGCCTTGAACTCTGGGTCCTCCTTCCTCTACATCCCAAGTGCTAAGATCACAGGTGTCTACTATTATGCCATCTCTTCTCTTTTCTCTGGACCTTTGAACTATTTCTTCTTCTTCTTCTTCTTCTTCTTCTTCTTCTTCTTCTTCTTCTTCTTCTTCTTCTTCTTCTTCTTCTTCTTCTTCTTCTTCTTCTTCTCCTCCTCCTCCTCCTCCTCCTCCTCCTCCTCCTCCTCCTCCCTCCTCTTCCTTAAATCTTTCTGCCCATCCTCATCCATCCCCACACTGCCCTCTCTCTTGCGTGTGCCAGCCTAATCACTATTTTTTTCATTCACCCCCACACTCATTTGAAGAAAGCAAATGACCATTATTTAGGGATCATCAGGAAATCACTTCCTCCAGAGGCTCTCCCTGGTTCCCATGGTCTCATCAGATGCTTTTGCTAAGAGCAGAACTCTGGGCTTCCCCTATGATAAATGGCATCTGTTGCATCAAATTGGAATTGCCTAGTAACTCTCCACAAAGCTAAGCGGTATGTCCGGCTTCATAGCCACATGTGAGCATTGGAGATAAAAATAGTACCTGTGACACTGGGCTACTGTGAGGGTCAGGTGAGACAGTTTTTGGGAAAGAACACTGCTAGAACATTACAGAAATGACACCATGCTTGTGGCAAGCATTTGTCCATTTGTAGATGCTAAGTCCTAAGGGATAATTTGCATTTTCTTCACAATTACTTCCTCTGTAAATGCTACTTAGGGAAGATTTTGGTCAATCAGTTAATCAGACAAGTGTACAGATAATTCAAAGCTATCCCAGGGTTCCAAGATCTGGGATAGGTAGTGAGTAACAAATAAGACCAGTTGCTAAAGGTAGGAGAAGACAGAGACATAGGTAGTGGCCTGAGGCAGTTCGTGGTGGCTCATGTATGATCCTAGCCCTTTAGAGGTGGAGGCTAGAACATCGTGGGTTCAGGACCAGTTTTGTCTATATAGTGAGTGCAAGACCAGCACGGACTACAAGTGACTCTGTCTCCAAACAATGTTTTTTAAAAGAAGAAAGTAAAACAAGTAGAGATGGTTCTTCAAATTAGTAGACAATCCTGGCATGGTGGCTTAGGCCTGTAATCAGCACTGGAGACTCTGAGGCAGGAGGATCACCATGAGCAAGCCAGCCTGGGCTACTTCATGAGTTCCAGACCAGCCTGGAATACAGTGAGAAAAATTATCCTTAAATACCTAGATAACTAGATAAATAATAAATAAATAGAGAAGCAATAGCAAAATCTGGATCATTTTCATTGACCTTTTGGGAAAAAACTGAAGTGAGAATCTGCTCACAGCACAAACAAAAGTAGCTCCAGAGGCAGCTAGGTATAGGAAAGAAATGTTTTTTAAAAAACTCAAAACCCACCAGAAATCAACACCACTGTCTAACCCTGAGGCAGCTCTGAGAGTGATGCTCCCTCCTCAGCATGGAGAAGTGCTCTCTGGGTGCTGGGAGCTGACGTGGGGCAGGAGGATGCTGCCTGGTGGCTGGCACTGAGCTTGGGACAGGGCACCTGGCTTCCCTCCTGGACCTTGTTTTATCACTGGCAAATATAGATTCTTATGGTGGGCGTGGTGGCTCAACCTGTACCCTGGAGGCTGAGGCAAGAAGTGAATGTCGGGCTAGCCTGAGCTACACAAAGAGACCCTGCCTCAGAAAGAAAGAAAGAAACAAACAAACACTAGCATTTAAAAGGAGATATGTTCTGAGGACTTAATGATATAATGCTTGCATATCACAGATGATGTATAATACCTAACTGCATATGTTTCATAGATGTATATTAAAAACATGCCAGCTGATTTATGCCTCAGAGGTGAGAGTATAGATGGTCGTTTTTAGGGTTTTTCCTTTCAACTGTAGAGGAATGCAATAAGCGTGCTCTATTTTTAAAATAAAAGGGAAAACAAGTTATTTTTAAGTTTAAAATACTTAAAAATCTCATCGCTGGAGAATATTTTTGGTCATGCACAACTAGTCATGAGCTGCTATTAAGAGATTTATAAGCAGGATAACTTGGATTATGAAAATGCTTATTGTGTCTGTATGTATAACCTCCTGGGAGGAAAGAAAAGCTCACAGCACCCACAGGTCCCATCTCAGGTCTGAGTTACGTGGGACCTGACTTTATTTTTTGTTTTTTCATGTTTCCTAAATTCTTCCCAAGAATATGATTCTTCGCAATGACAGAAAAATGTGTTTTTGGCATTGTTGTTGTTGTTGTTATTTTTAAGAAAGAAACAGTATGATTTAAACAGGATCAAAGATAGCTTTTCATCTGAAACAGAGGGGAAGAAAGGATTGCTCTAGATTAAAAGGTAAAAAGAATAAAGTGAGCCCCAACCAATGCCCTATATTTTTTTCCTACAGTAGAAAGAATGGCTTAGGCTTTGAAACAGTTGTGAGGAATGAAAGCGTCTAATTAGAGAGAGTTTTCTCTTGTATGTGATCAAGGTGAAGACCTACCATGTTGAAAACAGAGCTGACCTCATAGTGTGAACTGGAGCCCTGTGCCCCCAGTACGCAGCAGCACAGGGCTGGGAAAAGGGAATTTTCACCTAAGGCTGACGAAGGGCTACCCGGGACACACCACACAGAACATGGAGGGCTGCATAACATTGGAAGCTGTTTGGCTGCTGAGATATGGTTAGATTTGTAAGCCCCCTTTTTAATCTTGACTTTGAGAAAGTTGACAAACACCAGCCAGGCATGGTCACACTTGCAATCCTAGTACTCAAAGGCTAAAGCAGGAGGATTATGAGTTCAAAGTCAGTCTGGACTATGGAAGGAGACTCTTAGTCAAATAAGTAAACAAAATTTTAAAAAACCAATAAGACAGAAGACTAACACAGCTAGGCAGATGTTATAGCTGACCGTAGCATAGTATCTCCAAGGGCTAGGTATTAATTCCTTGGTCCTATCACCAATCACAGTATTGACAGATGGCGGAGCCTTTAATAAGTGGGGCCTAGAGGGCGAGTACTCATGCATAAGTGTGATGCTGGGTATCAAGCCCTAGGTACTGTGATTTGAATCTTCGCATATGTTCCTGTGTCCAACACTTGGTCTTAACTGCTGGGCCTACTTTAGAAGGCTTTATGAGCTTTAGGAGGTAGAGACTTGCTAATGGGAATGGGTCATGGGGGTGGGCCTTGAGGTTTGATAGCAGGCCCCAGTTTCTGCTCACTCCACTTCTTGACTATGGGTACAATGTGACCATCCACCTCCTGCTCCAGCAGCTGTGCCTTTTCTTCCCTGATGGACAGCAACTCTTCAAACTGTGAGCCAAAATAAAACCTTGCTCCCTTAAGTCGCTCTGTATCAGGTGTTTAGACGCAGCAATAAGAAACGTCACTAATGCATGAGACAAGCATTTCACCATGGAATTACACTCCCAGGCCTAGTGGTAGGCTTGTCGACCATGGTGTGTGTGTCCTTGAAGAAACTCTGAGGCCCTGATCTCTTCTCTTTTTCCTCTCTTTTGCTTCCCAGCTATTTGGTAAGCTGTTTTGCTCTTCCAACATGCTCCCATATATGCCTGGCATTATCACAGACCCAAGTGCTATAGGACTACCTCCGCATGGACCAGAGTCTGTCCAACTAGGATCCAGAATAGCCCTCCCTTCCCTCTTTATAAGCTGAGTCTCTTAGGTATATTGACAAAACGATGACTAACTTGGCCAT